CCATGTTTGAAACCTGTGTATGAAAGAGCTTCTGTGCTGCTATTGGTCAACGTCACCAATGTGACGGATTGTAGAAAACGAAGCGTTTGAGAGAGGCGGGGCATAGAGGACCTACAATAATGTACAGTATTTGAAAAATAATGTGTTTTTTGAACATTAAAGCATGTCAACATATTCTGTTACACCAAATACACAAAATAATGATCTTTAAAAAAGCATCATATGACCCCTTTAAGAGTTAAATATACAATTTTTGATGGAGTTTGGGGACCTTTCAAATTGGAAAATTCCATAAATATGGTTGATATATTTTGTGATCATTCAGACCAAACGCATTTAACCAGATCACATTTGTAATGTAAATGCTCATTTGTTTCAAGTAACATCAAAGGACCGCCTGCTCACCTGTCAATCAAATATTCAACCAAAATCATCCATGTTAAACTTTGCCGGTTGTGTGTGGCTTTAGAAGAAAATGATACAATATGATCTTAAGGAAAAATGATTACTATTATTCATTTATTTACTTTTTTATTTTTATTTAATTTATTATTTTTTTTGCTGTATGAAAATGCAATGTCACTGGTGTTGAAAACAAAGTCCCTCTCCTCAAACTCCCATCACAAGTGTTCAAACTGCTGAGATACCTGTTGCACTTTTGTAAACGGCGAGTTTTTCACCTCACCTCTGTGATCAAACCCAAGGCGGATGTTAAAGATGCAGTGTAGGACGTCAGCCTACATGCTCATTCTTTCACTTTGTCCTTTCATTTCCCTTTCTTATTCAGACTTCATTCTTTTCATTTCATGGTTACCAGAGTCTCTGATTGCATTCTGCAAGCATAAAATTCACAGAAGCGCCACTTAAAGTGAGTTACTGTGTAAGTCTAGTTGTGGTTTGACTTCACCGGTGTTTGGCTCACAGGCGAGCAGTTCCATTTCTAATAAAGACGCTCTTCCAGTTCATCAGCTCAGTGTGGCAGTGTTTGCTCTTTGGTACTGAAGATTGAAATGATCACAGTACTGGAGTATTGGATCTGAATATTTATGTATGAAGAAGCAATCTTTGTCATGAGTGAATGAAGATGATTAGGTATGTGGATTATTCAGTCATTGTGTGTTTGAAGTTGATTGTTTATCATGTTTAGGTTGGAGGTTTTAAGGAATATTCCAGGTTTCAATACAAGTTAAGCTCAATTAAATGCTTTTGTGGAATAATGTTAGCAGCATGAAAATAATTTTGACTTGTTTTGTAAAAAAAAAAGTAAAATAAAAATTACAGGGTACTTGGAAATGGAAGTGAAAAGGACCAATTTTTGGAGGATTTAAAAGCAGAAATTCAAATATGATAAAAATTACTTTATTTATTTTGCTAAAAATTGTGATTTTTTTTTGCTATAAAGCTGTTTAATTAATTGCTACATATGTTTTAAAGTTCACAGCATTGTATTGTCAACACAACAAAGTTGTAAAATTGGATATAACTTTACACTGAAAAGGTTAGTAAGTGATTTTTCCTCACTACAGTCATGTTAACACTCATATTGTTCACATCTTGTGGCTGCACTATTGAAACAGTGAGTATAATTACACTTAAAAGTGCTGGATCACAAATGTTCTTAAAAGAATATGCATTATTATTGTAGAAAACTAAAATAAACACTACCTGAAATAAAATAAAATAACTGCCAAGGCAACATTTCTCATTTTAATTTAACTTAACTTGTACTAAAAGATCCAAAAATTAAATAAAATATATTAAAATAAAAAAAACTATATAGACATTTTTTAAAAATGACAAAAGCATACAACAAAGTTACTAAAATTTTAATGAAAACTAAAATGAAAACCGAATGTATAAAAAAAAAAATCAAAGTGTTAATAAAAGCTACAATAGCACTGTATTGAACCCGGAATATTCTTTTAAAGTAAATTTTTTAGCATAATTTTAGCATTTTTAGGAATTTCCCAGTGTTGTGAGCGTGTGATTGAATGCACATGCCAGCATGTAGATTTATTTTTACTTTAGATTTATTTTCACGTTGCAGCTCCCCGTGTCATATGCGTCCTGTCACGGTGTCTTAGTCTTCAAGTGCTATAAGAGGATCAGATATTGTCACGTAATTGGAGGATTTGTCCTGCTCCTTTATGGTTCAGACAGGCAAAAGTACATGTTACTCATACATAAAGCGCAGGTCATTGAATGCAGTATTCATGTTAGTTCCAATACTGCGGTTTGCACAGTATAATCTGGCTGCATTTTGATCTACTTTTGCTAATATATGCAAGAATGAAGGATGTTGCCATCCCTTTGCTCTGAAGCTGAGTGGTGTTAGGGTTGAATTCAGTCATGTTCTGATTCCTCTTCATCGCCCGTGGCACCTGTCTCATTCTAATAGACTTGAACCTTCTCTTCGCTTCTGTTTGCCCTTCTATTGCTTTCTTTTTCTGTGACATCTCCTTATTCTCCTGGCTCTGAACCCTCCCTCCTGCTCTCTTCCAGACGATATAGGTGGGCCGCAGCCTGGGCCTTTCCTAGTGAGTGTAATGGGGGCCTCCCTGCAGTCTCTCCCCCTGCCTCTTCCTCCTCCTCCCCCTCTCCACGCCACCATCCAGCATAGTCTCAGCCTCAATGGTAAGACTTGGGTGCAGTGGAGGGGGCGGTGTGTGTGTTTCAGGGTGTCTTTTTGGTTTCAGGGTGTCAATTTCTGCCCTCAGAATCACCTTTATTTCATTCATTAAACGTACAGAGAAACGGAATGAAGTGTGAACGTAACTGTGGTATTCTTTTGAACGGCCAAGACAATACATGTCACCCACCACATGTATCGTTTTGCTTAACAAAGGCTTTGGTTGATCGTGTGGTTCCATTTTTCAGTTCCTGCCGTTCAGAGGAAAAAGGCGGTGTGACTAATGTGTGTTTGTAAAGAGAGGAAGTGTGAGCGATGGTGTCATACTGTAGAGTTCAAACTTTGTCTCATATAGACATATAACTTGTGTATAAAATATAACAGAGGTTAAAGATATGGTAACTACAACATAGCATGTACACATGGTTATTGGTAGTTGATATGACATTTCATCAGTGTCCTGCAGTGTGATGTGCTATAGGCGAGACTGGGGCAAGTTGTCACAGAGGGGAGTTGGCATAAGGAAAGGGGTTTCGGTAAATTAGCAATGGTTTTGTTTTATACACCCAGTTCAGAATCCTATGAAATTAGAATCACCAATCAGCTGTTGGGCAAACAAGTGAACACAATATAAAACACAACTGGGGCATGTTGTCACAAAAGGGCAACTTGTGTTCAGTGAACTGTATCTTTTTCCTGGGCAATAATGGTGAAAATGTTCCGTTTTCAAAGAATGTAAGGTTTGTACACAAATGAAATGAACATTCAAAAATAAACCTACACTGATAAATATTCACTGGTGTAAAAAATGTGACAACTAGCCCTGGACTCCGTCTAATTCATCTGAATAATATATATTATATTCTTGTCTAATTGTTATACGTAGTTCATATACAGTTTCTAATAACTTCATATTAGACATTACAGACACGTATAGTCCTGTCACACTATAATGAGAAACTTGCAGAAATGGTGATCAGTTACAGGACCAAAAATATACACTTTCCCGTATATCAATACATTTTAATCTAAAATGTTTTAAACTATTATTTGAGTTGTAACATTCATAATGTTACAAAAGATTTCTATTTCAAATAAATGCTGTTCTTTTAAACTTTCCATTTATTAAAGAACCTGGACCAAAAATATTGCGATTTCCAGAAAAACGTTAAGGAGCACAACTGTTTTAATATTGATAATAATAAGTGTTTCCACAAAGCTGTGGAAATTCAGCTTTGCCATCACAGTAATAATTTACTTTTGTAATATTTTTGTAATACTATTTTTGTAATAATATTTCACAATATTACTAAATTTACTCAATTTTTGATCACATTTTTCATTTAGCTAGTTTTAGAATACAACTCAATATTTGATGTTGTATTAAAAAATGGTTCTTTTGTGTCTCAGATGCTTTCTTCCGGGCACTTCCACATTTGGTCCCATCACCAATGGAGACTCCGGCCCCGGCTAGAGTGGCCCCGCCCCCAATCATGTGTCCACTGAGAGGAGCCGATTCCAGCAGCTTCACTGCCAGCCTGAGAGAGCTGGAGCGGGTGAGAGACAAAAGCCGTGGTTTACAGTGAATTTATAACAGCTAAGGGGCGTTGTTAAGCATGACGTTAAATTTTAGAAAACGGTTATTCCATATTTGTAGCAAGGTTTCACAAAATAAAACTAAGCAAATAAAATGTAATGATATTAATAAAAACATTATTCTTCCGCCAAACAATGTAGTTCCTCAGAAACCGTTGTGGTTGCAACAAAGTGGTTGCCGAGCAACACACAGACGTAAACAAAGGTGTATGTTTGTAGAGTAATTTACAACAGCTTCGAACACAGCTCAACCAATCAGAATCAAGGACCGGAACTATCCGTTTTATAATTGAAAACTTCTGCTGCGTCCCAATTCGCATACTATCCGTCCTAAATAGTATTTCGAAAATAGAATTAGTATGTCCCAAATCATAGTATGTTTAAAAAAGTATGCCAAAGATTCCCGGATGGTCTACTACTTCCGGTTAGAATTCGAAGTGCAGATCGATGCACACTCTAACAGCTAATATTGCCCACAACACATTCCGCGGTGGACGAGGATTCGATTAGAACTACAAACATGCATAAAAAGTGTTAAAAAAATACAAACATGGCGGATATACGCGACCGACGGACAGGTAGAGAAAGGGATTTGAGTGATAAATAATCAATGTCTAACCTGATGAAAAATATTAATTTAATGTTATCCACGTTATATTTCATCTGCAGCAACACTATGAGCTTTTATAATGATACGTTTGGTCATAACTTTTAAATGCATCATTATGCAAACACATGAGCAGAGTTCTTGGCATGATAGACCCGCGACTAGCAAATCAACGTGCCTCTTAATTTCTCTCCAATACGGTAGGAAATCAAATTAAACTAAATGTGGATGATGTTAACTGTGACAAGATGATTGACAGGGCAGTTTAAACAGTCACAGAATGCACGTAACTAAGCAACAGAGCGTCCGTTAAAGAAGCAGCTATGACGAAGTAGTATGTCCCAAAGCTTGCCTACTATTCTTCTACATACTCAAAAGTATGTACTTTTTCTTCACAAAAAGAGTATATACTTTTAGGGCATAGTATAAGTAGGAGAATTGGGACGCAGCATTCCACTCGTTGTTCACTCATGTTCATGTATAGACCTTTTTAACAATGAAATATGACTGTGGCTTCCTGTGGTTGTGGGTTTTTCTCACTGTTGTATGGTCATTGTGTGTTTGTGTCTGCAGTGTGGCTGGTATTGGGGGCCGATGAACTGGGAGGATGCTGAAATGAAGCTGAGAGGAAAGCCAGATGGCTCGTTTTTGGTGCGGGACAGTTCAGACCCACGTTACATCCTCAGCCTCAGCTTTCGCTCACAGGGAGTCACACATCACACACGTATGGAGCACTACAGAGGTAAACACACACACACACACACACACACACAAGTACAGTATATACATATCTCTTAACACGCTCAAACTCTTTTTGGACTCAAAAAGTGTAGCTAAAAAACACATGAAATCCTGATCTAAAGTGGTTTGAAGTCAGATTAAAAGGTCAGTGTTGAAGCAAATAGATTAGATTTCACCACTTTCAGATTGACGGTTATTCCTAAATTCAGTTTTGAAAAATCAAAATGGTAGTCAACAAATGTTTTCACACCTCCATTTGATTTCTTATGCATTACACTGAAAAATGTGAAACAGGCGTGCAGAACGCATGCTAGTTTTACTGATTGCAAAAATGATTGTGGGTTTTGTTAATTTTTCTGGTGTTTTTTTATATACATAACAGAAACTGTGATGCATATTTTAAAACGTCATCACAATAAACATTAAAGTATATTAAAGATGTCTTAATTCATAGTAAGTAAATTAAACATGTTTTAACTTTTATCTTAAGTGAAAGTGCTACTTTCATATTACAACTAATTTGAATATGTTTATAATGTAAGCAGAAAATCATACATATATATATATATATATATATACGATATATATATATATATATATATATATATATTATTAATAGAGGAAAAGAAGCATATAGACTGCTAGCTGAGCAGAACAACATGTCTTATGACCATGATGTCATGATTATGTCCTTTAGGAGGTACAGAGAAGAGCACATGACGTTCTAGAAGCTTACCAGAAGACAATTAACACGCAGCAGCAGATCAGCCTCTGAAAATATCCCATAATAATACATATTAGTCTCTTGTGATATGATGTGATTAATGATAAATATTGGACTCTGCATGTCTTATGACACTGTCAGCATTAGTCAAAGAATCCAGATCAAACGGAAAGGCGCTAAATGACACTATAAATGAAATTATATATAATATAACATATGTGACTCTGGAGCACAAAACCAGTCATAAGGGTCAATTTTGTGAAATTGAGATTTATGCATCATCTGAAAGCTGAATAAATATGCTTTCCATTGATGTATGGTTTGTTAGGATAGGACAATATTTGAAAATCTGGAATCTGAGGGTGCAAAAAAATCTAAATATTGAGAAAATCATCTTTAAAGTTGTTCAAATGAAGTTCTTAGCAATGCATATTACTAATCAAAAATTAAGTTTTGATATATTTACGGTAGGAAATTTACTAAATATCTTCATGGAACATGATCTTAACTTAATCTCCTAATGATTTTTGGCCTAAAAGAAAAATTGATCATTTTGACCCGTACAATGTATTGTTGGCTATTGCTACAAATATACCCCAGCGACTTAACACTGCTTTTGTGCTGCAGGGTCACACATTTTCTTTTGCTTTTCTTATTGACATTTTCTTATAAGTTTACCCTCATAAAACCTTTATGAATGTGGCAGTTTAACACAGATGGAGCGTTGCACTGATATGTGTGTTTCTGGTGTGTTTCTGTGTTCAGAGGCT